ATTGTGTATATATATATATATGTGTGTGTGTGTGTGTGTGTGTGTGTGTGTATATATACAGAGTGTACGATAATTTTTATGACAGAATTTGTGGACACGTAAAGCAGATTAATCTGAGACGGAAAGTCCTTTATTATTTTGCAATTTTCGCAATAGTTAACAAAATATTAATTAAATTAAAAATTGCCAAAAATTGGTCTTCAATTTTTTACTCAAATACTATCAACTTGACAGAAAAACTGACAAAAAGAGACAAAAATTGTTTATTTTTTTCTCAAGTTCTTATAAAAAGAAAATAAATGATTTTTTCTCTTGCAGTTTTTCTGTAAAGTTGATAGTAACTAAAAAATATTGAAAACTAATATTCGGTGATTTTTAGTAATTAATATCTTGTTAACTATTGCAATTGTATTGCGAGAATTTTCTTGTTACTTATCAAAGATCCTGTATTTATACATATACATATATGTGTGTGTGTGTATGCGTGTGTGCGTACGTGTATTCGTGTTTGTGCATGTGTGTGTACGCGTGCGCGTGCGAGCGTGTGTGTGTGCGCGCGCGCACGGGTATGTGTGTTGGGTATAAATATGTAAATATATAAATAGGAGATGTAACTGTGTCACTGTCGATCTCAAATTCGTATAAAAAGAAAGAGGGTATCTTGTCATTTATTATTGTTTTTTAAACAAAAAAATTTTTGTTGCCAATTATCAATACAGTCGATATAAATCGAATTTAAAAATACAAGATGATTCGTAAAGATGATTAATTGAAAAGCAATAATTGATGCATTATCGTATTTTCAAGTTCTCACATTTTTCATAAGATTATTAATTTTTTTGTAATAATGTTCTAATGAAAAATATGACCCAATTAACGTTTTATGGTGCAATATTACTCATTTGACCCAATTTAAAATTAATTTCTAAATCATTAAGACATAACTGATTTTAGTCAATGATTTTATAACAATGCGAATAATGAATTTTATAACAATGCGAATTTTATTCACGTTATATCAATGCACCAATTTTTCAGTTTAGCGTTATTATAATCGGTTTTTACGAAGAAAAATAAGAAAACATAGAAATAGAACAATCCCCGAATGGTCACGAAACTACGTAAAATTGGTATCCTCCTTTGAAGTTGAGAAAATTAAACCATTGTGAACAATTAAATCACTGTGTGTGTTATGCAACTCACTTTTTTAGAATTAATATAATAAGCGTGATACTTCACAGTAAAGATGAGAGCAGGCAAAAAATGCGAAAGAAATCTAAGGATCGTATGCAAATTATACTTTGATGTAATTAATGTACAAAACTGCAATAATAACAAAATTCCAAATTATTAAATAAATAAATAATTAATTTTGTTTTGCCTGAAATATATTTAAATAAAAAAGATTAAGTCACCTCTACAAATAAAAAGGAGCAGAATAGAGTACAGACAAATATAGGTTTAATGTGTATGCACTTTGTTGTCTGAGGTGGCCATAAGCCAAGACCACACAAAAGAAATATGTAGATTTTATAGTATCGTCTTCCAATAAAGTCCATCTTGCACTCTGACACGACTATATTCATATGAGAGAGACTCGCTATCTTTTCAGATATATTAGAAACAAGTACTCCATAGAATGATTTGTCTTTAGTTTCTTTTTTCATACAAATGGCAAAATAATTAATAATGATCATAAACAATTTTCTAAGATAATATCGCACGAAAAGAACAGATGCGAACTAAATTACTAATGTAAATTAACTTAAAGTAAATTGCAGTAAAGTGTTCTTTTCAATTTGCACATATTAAGTTTATTTTTCATTTAAAATAACGCAAAAGTATCTCTCAGCAAATATTTCTCAGTTCATTTCAATTCTTTATATGGGAAGCTTCCTGATTTCTTTAATCCTTCAATAACATACAAAATATAATAGTAATGTTTTAAAATTATTTTTGTAATATTAAACTAATGTTACTTATTTATAAGAAATTTAGAAATATTACAAAATTTTGACAAAATTTTTGGACAAAATTTTATGTTATAACTTTAATTTATACGTTATATCATATTTTATTATGTTTTTATAGTTCGTTCTAAATGAATTACATATTTAAGTTCATTTAAATAACGTATTGACGTTTAATAGTTTCTATTAAACGAGTGGCTTTAATTATAATTTCTCCTATTACAAAACAGAATTGCTAGTTGATCGTTTTCGTGTTAAATTAATGCAAATCAGCTACAACTTTAATAGTGCACACTACGAATGCATAGACTAAATTGCATGACGTAAGATAGTAACAAACTGGTAAGCTGCAACATAAAGTGTGTACTTCGCATCATTGTTCAAAGTTATATCGGATTACCGATGTATTTATACTACTTCAGATAACAAGATAATTATACTACTAAAAGATAGTATTTTTCATGCTTTTCAGCGTCACGAATATCTGTAGTAAACATATTTAACAAATCGACATTATTACTCACCAAATTTGTTACTCAATTAAAAATGCTATATAAAATATTAACCAAGCTATGCTGCTATTATTTTTTCTCTTCTTATTATATAGAATTATGAACATAGTTACAAACATAGATAAAATAAATTAATAATAATAATTTAAAATGTTCACTACACGCTTTCATTTCCAATTGGTTTATGATTTATTTATAGATTAGTATGTTTT